CCCCAAAACCCCAAAACCCCAAAACCCCAAAACCCCTATAAATTCTCAAGAATTGAAATTAGTTCACTAGTTGTTTAAGAGCCATAATTTTCCTCTTCGTGGCAACATTCTTGAACTGCTTGTTGCTCAGTTTCCGTACGATGTCTAGATACTCTTCCAGGGACACTAGCTTTTTCCTGTATCAGACCTTCGCCTCCGCCATGCAGTCCTCAATAGCAAGCTCACTGGAAGTCAGGCTGAGTAACTTCTTCGAAAGATCATCTGAGGGAGTGATGAACTTGATCAATTTCTTTTGAGTGCTGCTACTCATTCTTTGGTTGTAGTAGTCATCGTCATGATCATGCCGGACATAAGCTTGCAAATCCTCAAGTCTGGTCTCTAATTTACCGATCTGGGAGCCAAGGTTTTCCGTCTTCTCATCAATCAAGTTCCTAGCTTTGAGCAGCTTGCCGTTGTTCGCACTGAGGGTGATGAGTGACTGGGTGACTCGTGACTGGCACTCTCTCATTATTTTGCCGTACTCTGAGTCACCGGATTCTAGCTTTGAAGTAGCCATTGCGATCAGGGTGTCTCTTTGAGAGTCCCTGCTATATAGTTAAGTTAGTGAATGATAGCTGAGACTTTGGGACTGGAAGCAGACGAATTTTGAATTTTTTTAGGTATGGGTTTTGGCGAAGTTAGGACTATTAGGAGCTCATGGCTAAGTAAGGCTTGGATGTGATCAGTGAGATTTGGAGATATGGATCTTTAAATCTCTTGATCGGGCAGAAGATTTAGACCTAATGAGGAGATAAAGAGAGTATTTGGAGTTATTTTGTGACTGAGTTGTTAGAGAAGTTTTGTTAAGATTGAGCCAAACTTTTCAAATCTCTGATCATGAGAATTAACTTATACTAACAGAAGATCAAGCATCTGCTTGTAGCTGAATGATGGTGCATAAACTCAATATTGGGTTAACAAGCTTCATCTAGTTCCTACTTGATTATTCAAAACGTCTATTCCTCAAGAGATATGGTCATACTGACAAATAGATTTTTGTCAGAAATTTTAAGGTTGAGTGGCTTAACATTCATTTAAATGAAGCCTAATCACAAAAAGCTGCTAATGATCAAATTAGAATGTACACAAGGTCCTATCTGACAAAACAGAAGTTACTTAAGCCGTAGTCTATTCTCTTTATTGATGTATTAACACCTGAGATGACTTACAACCCTAGCTTGAGCAATAGAATCCCTATGCAGAGACTTCAGTCCTGCAGTCTTAGTACCATCTATTTGGCTACTAGAGAAATTGGTGCAATTACTAAAACTCTCGAGAGCCGGTCCAACTTAGAAACTCAAGAGTGTTGACTTCAGTACGACTTAAATTCTAAGTGTAAAACTCTTCAGTTGATTCAAGTCCAGTATGTGAGATTAAAGATAAATCGGGAGCTACAGATTAGCTTAAATTACGAGGACAAATTCCTTCATGATTGAGATTAGTAACCCCTAAATTTATAGTTCCAAGGAAGAACTGCTTTTTGAGAATTATTGGAGAGATAATAGGTCACGAGAATACTCTGAGATAGCACATGCTTATTAGGAACTGAAGAGAGTTTTCAAAAATTCACTGGTCAAGTCAAAAGGTCGGTGAATTATAACCAAAATCATAGTTGGAGGTTAAAGTGCGTGACTTGTATCTAGAGACCAAGATTGGGAAGTAGCATATGCATACAACTATTTGACCTCACCTTACATGGACAAACATTAGCAAGTTAGGAGATAAGGAGTAAATGCCGGCCTAGGGCCATATTTAAATAATCTTACCTGACCTTAGTACTTCTGGACTTTCTTTTAGACTTCCTCTTGGACTTCCTTTTTGACTTCCTTCTTGATTTTGATTTCCTCTTCGATTTAGACTTTTTGCGTGATTTCGATTTTCTGAAGGTGAGTAATTTCAGTAAGAAATTTTTCAGAAAAACTTACCTTGATTTCCGATTCTTGCTGGGTCCTTTTACTGGAGGATTAGTGGTGAAGTACTCCACCATACGATCATAAGCAAATCAGAGATCGATGCTGTTGAAGGACTTCCAGTCTTTTAATTCTTCAGTCCTCACTTTGTTATTTTTGGTAATTACTTCATTATCGTATTCTTTTAGTTCATCTAGGATGTATACTTTAGGAGCCTTATAGGGGTACCCAAGAGGTAAGACTATACTCATGCTGTATTCTGGATCAGGAGCGTACAACTGGAGGTACTCATCAAGGTTCAACCTTTCCTTGCCATAGAGTACAAGAACTCTATCGCTTTGTTTCCCTTCATATGTGATTGAAGTCTTGAAATTTGGGTGAGAGTCCACGAAATTCAGTACATCACGAAGTACGGTTTCTTTGAGCTTGCCATAGTCGCATTCTTCCAGGTCATATCTAATGGTCTCCTCAGTCTGGGGACCTTCGGAGGGTCCTCTGCTAGCTCTGAAGCTGTCCATGGTTATGAATTCAATTTAATATTTTATAAAAGGGGTTTTGGGGTTTTGGGGTTTTGGGG